GATTAATTGTGATTAATTCACAGAAACTTTGGGATTAATCAGATTAAAAATCTTAATCATTTGACAACATTAGTTAAAATACATGAGATTTTTCTTTTCATCTGTTTACATGCCAAATGTTGAAAAGACCGTGACCTCTGCGTAACTTTGCAAACGGGGCGGCTGTGGCAGAGTGGTTAGGGGAGTCGTCCTGGAACCAGAAGGCTACTGGTTCGATCCCCCAATTCCAGCTGTCTCAGTCGTTGTGTCCTTGGGCAAGACACTCCACCCACCTTGCCTGTTGATGGTGGTCAGATGGTGGCGTCAGGGCATGGCAGCCCAGCCTCTGTCAGTGTGCCCCAGGGCAGCTGTGGCTGGAGCTGACCACCWTCAGTGTATTTACCATAGCTAATGTGTGCTCGCTGCTTTTTGTCCGCTCCAATGCGGAATTTCACTTCTGGAACGAGCAACACACTGACAATAAAAACTAAACCTGATGCTAGTATTGAACACAGGACACGTTAGTATCATGTGTTGGTGTGGTTTCTCAGTCATCAAGGACAAAAACGACAAAACAACTGGACTTATGTTGTACTTGAAGACATTCATTTTGATTTGATGAAATACGACACGAATGTTCAGAAGAAAAACATGAGATATACTCCTGATTTAGATGCCATGCTGATTCAGATGCATCAGATTTGAAGAAATCAGATTTGTCGCCATGAAAAATTGGATATGGGTCACATGGGGACAAACAAAAAACAATAACTAGATCTGGGACACTTTGGCTGCAGTGTGAACATAGTCCTGAATTGTCTGCAGAAAGTAACCTCTTGTAGATGCTTGTTCTCAGAGAGGCTCATTTAAACCCATTTACAGCAGTCACCTACTAGACTTTTCTAACATCAGTGGTGGGCACCAGCCKACTAAAGCGCAAATCCACTAATTGTGGACCTAAATATTTGGTTTGCGCTTTAGCYGTCTCACTAATTATTACAATTCATAAGCGTATTTGCGCTTTCTAAAATGTAAATGCAGTACCACTCATAACTAATTATCTACCAGTCATCATTATCTTCAACAGCAGAAGGTATGGCTGTTAATGAATCACAACACATGATCTATCCAACAGCACCCCTCCCAGATAAACACACTTATTGTGAAGGTATACATCCTGCTGACTGTTGCTTTGGGTCA